ATTTTTGGGTGCCTGGGTGGCTCAGTTGGTTAAGCGACTGCCTTCGGCTCAGGTCATGATCCTGGAGTCCCGGGATCGAGTCCCGCATCGGGCTCCCTGCTTGGCAGGGAGTCTGCTTCTCCCTCTGACCCTCCCCCCTCTCATGTGCTCTCTCTCATTCTCTCTCTCTCAAATAAATAAATAAAATCTTTAAAAAAAAAAAAGAAGAAAACATTTTACATCAAAGTTGAGCAATATGAAGCAAGAAAAAGCAAAAGTTCTCAAAGATTAAATAGTATAGCTAAAAATTAATAATTTTCTTAAAGTAAAAATTCTAATGTCTTTCCTATGGCTTAACTAGAGAGCATATACTTTGAGCAGGATTTCTGTACCACTTACATTACTCATTTAGTTCCCACATTCCAAAGAGGTCAGGAAATTATAAAGTGTTTAATATAAAAATGGCAGATGTATACAAGTATTTCTATCACAGACATAAAGAATACTATTATTTTTTTTTCAGGCATTCAAACAACACATTTGCAACCCATACTTCCACAAACCTGAAAGCCATTACTATTTTTGACAAAGTCTTTAGCAGAGTATCATAATAAATGCTCAAATTCTGATATTTCATCTGGAAATACCCATGTGAATTCAAAGTCCCCAAACCACAGGGACAGATGGTAGTAATAAAGGATTCTGGACTAGTGTTTTTACAAACAACTTTGGCTGCTTTTGGCTAAGTTATTTTACCTCATTTTTATACATCTGAGAATGAAAATTCAATTACTGTAGGGAAGTTGTTTGAACTTGGAATGCATTTTTTTTTTACTTAAAAAGTTACAATATAGGGGCGCCTGGGTGGCGCTGCCTTTAAGCGGCTGCCTTTGGCTCGGGTCGTGATCCCAGGGTCCTGGGATCGAGCCCCTCATCGGGCTCCCTGCTCCGCGGGAAGCCTGCTTCTCCCTCTCCCACTCCCCCTGCTTGTATTCCCTCTCTCACTGTGTATCTCTCTGTCAGATAAATAAATAAAATCTTTAAAAAAAAAAAAGTTACAATATATAGCAAGATACAAACTAGCCTGTTCCTCACTATATTTGCAACATTTTTGTAACTAAAATACAACCTAAACAATTATTTGTAAGGAAAATACTACAGAAATACCCCCGTAACAATAAAAGTAAACCCTTCTAAATGACATTTCAATCTCTCTTAAACGTTAACATGCAGAGATTGCTAGTTGTCCTTCCGTACCCCTCCTTCCCCTTTTTACACAGTAATGGAAATTTCTGGGCATAGGACACAGCTAAAGATTCCCCTGCAGCTAGGTGAAGCTTTGTGACTTAGTTCTAGACAATGGGATGTAAGCAAAAGCAATGTATGCAACGTTAGGTGATGGCCTTAAAGAAAATGGACAGGCTCTTTATTCTCTGCTTAACTCAGTCCTGTTGCCTAAAAGGTGAACATACCCTGAAGCTAGAGCAGCCTTCTTGGACCATGAGATAAAAACTACCTGTTAAAAATGGCAAAGCAACATGATTAGAGAAGCCTGGACCTCCAACATCATAAAGCCATCATATTAACCCAGGACTGCTTATTTGGATTTTTAAATCAGAGAAAAATATGCCTCCACGGTACTTAAGTTGTCAAATATTCAGCCTAAACTGTATCCCAGTTTATCATGGTGGGGGCAAGGGAGACAAAGGAAAAGGAAATGAAAATAGACTTTAATTCTAACAGAAACCTGTAGCCAATTCTTGTGTGTGTGGGTGTGTGTGTGTATCATGTTTATTTGTTCTTCAAAATTCATGGCTTTCCTTCATTAGGGTTATTTTTAGAAATACAAGACTAGTATGTTAGATGACCTGGAATGAACCCAAGAAATCACTTTAAAACTTGAGAGATGAGAAAACAGAGGTATGAGCAAGCAAATTATGAGCGCAAGGTTATTCTTATCAAAAATTATTACGTGTTCTTTTTTTTGTAACTCATAATTTTTTCTGAAGAACAGATCAACTTATAAAAGCAAAAAAGGAAAACATTATTAAGATGTATTGTTTGCATGATGAAGAATATACTGCAAAATCAGTATGAACTGTGAATGGCAGAGAAAAAGCCATGACACAAAGTATATGAATAATCTCTTGAATGGGGCTACTACTTACAGTAGAGACATTATAATGAGTTCTAAATGCTTGCACGAGAGTATGTTTTCATCTAGAATAATCTACTGCCAACTGAAGAACACTGGTGATGGGGCAGGAAGGGTCCCAGAGGTTTGTCCCACATGGAGAAAAAGAGTTAATGTCTTGCTGATCATTCAACACTTATTCCAATGGGAATTAAGCTAAAATTTAAAAAACCTAGGTTATCTATAAAGAAAAACTAATTATAGAGCGTAAATGAAATTTTGGGTGTTATGATCTCAAAAGCAATCTCATGAAAATTATGCACATGCTCCCTCCAAAAAATGTGCAACATATACATTATACATTTTTAATATTTCATTGCTTTGGATTGAAAATTCTTTCACTCTAATAAAACACAAGATGATATTCCCAAAAACTCAGGTCTTTTTAAGTACAAAAATGAGGAGTTACTTCCTTTTAAAAAGTTTTTTTTTTTTTTTTTTTTTAAGTAAGCTCTATGCCCAAGGTGGGGCTTGAACTCACAACCCGAGATCAAGACTCACATGCTCAGCCAGCCAGATGCCTCTAAAAAATTTTTTTTTTTTAAAAAAGAACATTTTATATAAATTCCAAGTAAGTCTTATATGACTTGAATACTCGAAGTGTTCAAATTACTCAGTGATCTCCAACGCAGAATTAAAAACATAAAACTTCTTGAACTGATGGCAACAAATGCCTGAAAACCATGATTCTGAGAGTATGAATCTGGTAGTAAATGTACTTAGGACTCACAGAATATTCTTTGCCATGGGAGAGTAACCTTATGTCAACAAACAACAGAATTCACTACAACTTTCTGAATTGAATCTACGTTCATTCTTTTCTTTTTTTCTAAGTATAAGAGGTCATTTTTGCAACAATCAGATGTCTGTGTCATCAAGGAAAGGATTACAAATTCCTTTTAAATTTTTAGGTCACCCAAAGCACTATAAGCCTTAAAAAGTATTCTGCCATGTTTCTAATTGTCTGCATATTTTTGCCAGCAGACGAATTTACAAGATACTGTCACTCAAATTCAATTTGCAGAAGCACATCCTGAAGCACTGGAAGATCCCCATGGCAGTTTGGCTAAATGAACTTGTGATTTTCATCCGCATCCATAAGGCAGACTACAGCACCGCAAAGTAGAACTTTTATTTCATTCAAATATCCAAAAATATCCCTCAAGTAAGTCAAGTCACAAATAAACTTGTCCAGCTGTCCCGAGAGTAGCATTTCTTTCTCTCATAAGCAAATTTAATAGACAATAAATAAGGAGGCAGCTATCTAAACTGCAGTGTAGTGCTTTAAGACATATCCTTCAAGGAACCAATGCACTTCTGCATTACTGGGAATCTCTTATTCTATTTCCACTTCTTGAGAAAACCTGTTAATAGGTAGTGAGTGGTTCATGGTTCTGACTCAATAAAGTTGATTACGTTCAGGGTGGTAAGCAAGTATCTTTTAGGATAATTGTCACAGTTTTTAATGCTGATTCATGCCAAGCCAACTGTAAAAGACGTAGGTTATGAATACTTGAAGTTCTTTCTTCACAAAAGCAGCAAAATCAGATGTACTGCCAAGCATGGTAAGTACTCCATCCAACCCCGATGTAGCAAACCACCTAATGTTAGTCATTACATACAAATGCTCATTGAATGGGAAATGGCAGAACTCCCAATCTGAAAATGATCTGCTTCAAAATATTAAAAGAAACACTCAGCAGTCTTAGGAGTACGTAACATCATCTGATTGGGCTTCGGCCATAGGAAAGAAGACTTTGTGATAAATAACCAAATTTCAGCAGCCAGTTCAAACCTTTCTTAACCCATTCTAAACTATCATTTTAAGGACCTCAGCATATTGAAACTTACATAAATTGGCATACATTCAACTGTATTATTCTCTATAGGTTAACATACATTTCAAAATAATGATCCCGTCTGTTACTTTATATGTTTCTGTAATTGGTGAAATCCCTTTAATCATTCTGAATTAGTCATTTTCAAGGAATTTTTTTAAACTCAATTTAGTTCCAACACAAATTGTCAATACTGTCTCTAACCTTAATGTGCTAAAGATTTCCCTCCCTTTCTTCTACTAAAGACCTCGTATCAGAATATAAACCACTGGCAAAAGCAAATAATTCAACCTCTAATTATCCCATAAACTTGAGCAAAATATACAAGCAGTAAATTTTGATAAATATTTTTGATACATATCAAAGCTGCCCACCTTGATCTGAACTGGTACAGGAACTAAACAGGACAAGTAGCAGATATCCTTGTCTATAAAGCATGCAAGCCTTCAAAAGCCTGGGTTGAATGTTATTTCTATTTTAGTATTTCTAAGTTTGACATATAAATAAAATACTTTAATGCCTAATGATATGTCTTACTACACTTAGTTATCTCATTTTGTAATTTCTATACACTCTAATAAAGTAGAGAATAAGTTGTAATTATTAAATATTCAATGGTAAATAAATTATCTTCTTTCTTAAAATCAGTATTTCCCAAAACTTATTACAATAAACCCTGTCTCAACAGTCTAAAGTTTCTGACCCCACTTGGTAGAACTGCTCATTCATGTAATTGTCTCTATAATACTTATTTTTAAAGCATTAAAACTCAATACATTTTCTAATTAATTATTTTTGGCAATTGATAAGTATGAAGCACTTAATGAATAACGTTGAATGAAGAAGCATTCTTCCAACTTGAAAACCAAGTACATTTCACACTTCTATTTCCCAGGTATTCTGGGAATAATAAGCTAGTTACTTAGATAATTCCTCAATAAGGGCTCTGACATTTTACCACTTATAATATTATGGAAAGTTTTACTTACTGAAACATCTTTCAGGTTTTTCTCAAAGGAGAAATGACAAGACTCTCTAGAAAAATCAAATTTGTATGCATCAGCTGGTCCTCCTCCTAATACCAGTGCTTTTCTCAGTTCATCAACATATTTCTCTTTTTCCAATGCCATGTCATCGGCTTCTTGGGAAATCTCGGACTCAGAAACTATGGGAAACATTAATAAAAAGTTTTGACATGAAAAATAAATTTCTAAACATGAGTACATATTTATTACCTATTGCTACTAATTTATCACTTATGTAACAGATATTTAAACAAAAGATAAAACCAATCCCCATACCACACATTTTTAAGTCAAATTATACCATTGAACAAGCAATTTTCAAGAAACACATTAATTTAGTCTCAAATCTCATCTGAAAAACATTAGATTCCTTGCATTTTTTTTCCTCTGTCCTCAGATGAAATACATGCATTGTAAATTACTAGAAAAACTACCATCTTATATACCTGCTCCTAGGTCAAAGCCGATAAATTATTTCTTAATAATGATTAATAAGTTCAGTATTTTATAACATCTTTCTTCCTTGCCTCAATTATTAAAGAGATTAAATAGTCAATAGTCTATTTCTCACTCACATGGGCTGAGTCGAATTAAAGTAAAAATGGAGTTCATTCTTCTCATCTCATTATATGCCAAAAAATAAAGAAGGTGGATGAAGGTAGGTGATGAGGAATGAAAGAGAAGGGAATTAATATTTATTGAGTGTCACCTGTTTGACACACATTATATCACAGATCCGGCTTCTAGTTCTCCCATCTAGGTATACTGAAAGCTGATGCTTTACTCATCTACAGAGATTTTTACTTCAACAATTATATTCTCAATTCTAGACTGATATTCTCTTTCTTTTTCATAATATCCTGTTCTTGCCACACCCTTCCTTTAAATATTTGAAGGCTTTAAACATATTTAAGATCTCTTTCAGGTCAGTCTTTATGCATGGTTCCTTATTAATTCCATTTCTACTGCTGACACATTCTCATTCTGTTTTTTTTCCCTTTCATGCTTTGCAATGTTTGAACAAGGCTCTCCTCTAGCCAGAGTATCATCTGCTCTGGGCAACAGCGCTGGCCTTGAATCCAGATTGCTAGTTTACCTTTCTTGGAGTCTCTACAGGTTTCAACAGCTCTGGACCAGTTTTGAAGGTTAATTTCTTAACTTGGTTTTTACTCTTGAAGCAAAGAGTTCAATCTTAAATCCCCCGTCCCACATCCCTACATAACAGAGACTCAGGGTTCTGATTTTTGTTTGGACTTTTATCCACTCACAGCTCTTAGTGACTAGTTTGATTCTACACTGCATCTTCAAACCAGAGAGTAGTCTTTTGTTTTTGTTCTGTTTTGCTTTTTTAAGATGATTTCATTAACAAGATACCTTTCAGTTTCCTTTCTTTACATTGAGAGCTCAGTTCCAGTTCCTTAAGAGGCCTGCCGTCTCAACATTCCACCCCACTTAGGTACTACACCCACAGTCATTAAGACATGTATCTAATTCAGATATTCCATGAACCTACAGTTAAGCTTTAGTTCCTATTAACCACTTTGGTTTTCAGACACTTCTTCATAGATGGCACCTGGAGGGTTCCCTTTCTTACATCCAAAAGCTGCACTGTTATCTGTTTGCTTTTAAAATTATAAGATTTAATCTAACATTTGTTTGGAATGTGTGCATGTGGTTGGGTGATTTCCTGTGTCAGTTCCCACTAGTACAATGATGAAAGACTCATGTGGTTCTATACTTTTATATATATACTTTTACATCTATCGATTTTATTCCTTATAACACTGAAAGATGTTTCAAATGATAAAACTGATGCTCAGATCAAGTAATGGTCTATGGCCATGGAGTAGATTAAGTGGTCAAACAGATTCATACTTATGGTCTCTTGGTTGTTTGGTTTTGTGGTGAGGCAGATATGGGACACTGGAAAAACTATTTCCTTCCACGGAATTAAAAAAACACACTACTAGGACATACTACAGAAATCAATAAAAGCTTGACTAAAGAATCCCTAAAATATAACACAGATTTTCATACCTTTGGTCTGTGTCCTATCAAGTATGTCTGGAAGCCCCATGACAGGCAAAGAGTAAGAGAATTTTGAAGCATATCCATATATTTTTCATTATCCATTTTTGGTCATTTCTGATAGCGAAATATGAATCTCAACACAGATGTCAAAAAGAGGTAAGAATGAAAACTTTTATATTTTTTATGTGATTTTACAGCTTCTAAAATCCTTTCATATATTTTGTCTCTCTCTGAAGCAGATGCATATTTAAGATGATCACCACCATCAAATCTATTTATCAAATCTATTGACCTTTCAGTTACCTTACTAGCTCTTCTGGAAAAAAAAAAAAGAAACAAAAACAAAAATAAGAAGATTAATGCTTCCTAGTTAAGGAACAATTTCATATTTTGTGTTGGGTAATTCTGAAGAGTTATAAATACGTAAGAAGAGAAAATATTTCATAGAGAAATAGGAAATAAATCTGTAGAAACCACCTTTAATGCAACTACAGAAAATACAAAAGAGGACGCCTGGGTTGGCTCAGTCAGTTAAGCGTCTGCCTTTGGCTCAGGTCATGATCCTGGGGTCCTGGGATCGAGCCCTGAATCAGGCCTCCCTGCTCAGTGGGGAGCCTGCTTCTCCCTCTCCCCGCTGCTCATGCTCTCTCTCCCTATCTCTCTCTCAAATAAATAAATAAAATCTTTAAAAAAAAAAAAACACAAGAAATAAAGCATGCCTACTGATAAAACATCCAGTGAAAAGCATTCTAAGTTTCATTAAAATGAAAAGATATGTATCTGAAAATATTTCATAGCATTTATTGGTTTGATTCACTTATTTAAAACAATGCTTACTCAGCACCTACTATGTGCCAGGTACTATTCTGGGCACCAAGGATACAAAAGTTTAACAAACAGACAGAATTCCAGCCTCATGTACCCTAATTCAAGTGCTGACATCTTAGATATTCTCTTACGTTACACCACCTGTGAACGCTGTTCTATTATTATGGAATATTTCATTTTTGAGAGAAAAAAATATGAAAGAAAATTTTCTATTTATACTTCCCCTTTAAAAACTGTGAGAAAAAATTAAGAAAAAGTTTAATTGAATATTTCCATTAATAGTAAATGTAAAATTTTGACTGCCTATTTAGAACTTCAGGCCTGGAAAAACAGTGTGGTCACCAGTTTTGAATTTTGTGCTAAGAACATCTGGAAGAAGCACAGCTGTAAGCATTCACTCTTCCAAAAACTTTGGTGACCAGAAATAAAAGCCATGGAAATAATAAAAATCAGCAAGGATACAGCTGAACCACATAATAATAGCATAAAAAGTGAGCAGGCCAACATGACCAAAAACCAAGGAATTGTTCTCAGACACATAGGATCCAAGAAAGCAGCATTTTAACAATATTTGTGGGTAGATGAAGATGTAAGTAAGGAAAGGAAGATTTTTTTCTTTTGGATCCTTATGTATAATGAACCGAAGACTGTGCATAGCCTAAGTTTGTGTTGGTGCTTTGAAGACAGCCTTATCATCACATTAGAGAGCTTGTTGGTATCACATCATGGACCTACTTTACTGCATTTATTAAAAATCCTTTTTCCCCTGAGCTCTGTCACATAATCTCCATATAGGTCACCAAATATCAATGTTTAGAACAAATATAAATGAATATAATTACTCGATAATAAATGTATTAATAAAGTCTACTTCTCAGTGAACTACTCCAGAGATGGGTGATTTAAGTTTCTTACTGCTGACTGATGGAGTTATAAAGGTCACATAATAGTCATCAATCATTAACCTACTTTGTGACTTAACTTTGCGATACAGTCCTCTATAATGTTGAAGTGATGATAGACCACATGATAATGAGACCTCAAAACATTCATTAGATAAAACATTACTACTGGAAAAGAAATCAGTGAATTTAGTGTGTGGGAGATTAAAAGGAACCCCACATCCTTTTAATTTCACTCAAATGAAAAGAGAAAAAAAATTATCCAAATTGAAGGTTGCAGCAATCAAAAAGTTGTACAAAAAAAAAACAGGATGAGGTATAGGAAGGAAATCCATCTTCAAGTTTCAATTATGTAATTGTTTCAATGTTCTTAATCATGTTATTGTCTCTATAAAGTGCCAAACCAAATCATATTCACATAATAAACCTCAACTAACCATGGAAACAATTATATTATTTGGTTTGATATTTTGTCCCTGAAATTTATACAAGAAAACAGAAATGAATAATGAAAGATATATAAAACATTTATGAGATTCAAAACTTTAGTGTCTTTGAAAATAAAACAACCATATATGGTGCACTACAAAATTTTCTGTTTGAAAGCCTGGTTAGTAAGCAAGCCAAAATGTTAACAACACAAAGGATATGGAAGTTTTCTAACACATTTTTCTCACACTACTATTCATTAGCTAAAAAAAAATGGCAAAAGCATACTGTATTTCTGATCAATGCCAACAATAAATAAATATGAAACTGGAGTTTTCATTAAAAAATGTTAATTCTAAAATAAATGGTTCACTTTCTTTTTTCCTAGGAAGTTTTATACATCTGAGGCATCCTTCCAAAGAATATCTATTGAGCATGTAGATCCCAGGCACTGGTCTAGATACTTATAAAGAATGAGTGACAGAAAAATCAGATGCATTCCTTGCTCCTAATGAATCTAGTGAAACAATATTGATAATAATAATATTAAGAACAACTGCCAGCACATTTTTTATGACATACACAAATTGTTCCATAAATGTAAATTCAGCTTAAATTTCTGGTTAAATCAAGATTTAAGAGTTCATCAGTGTATTCTTTTATTCCCAATCCTTAATGATTAAAAAAAAAAAAATTTAAACAACATAATATTGTTCTTTGCTTTAGTGAATGAGGTTTACTAACTAAATTAGAATTTAGTATTTTCTTTTGATAATTAAGGCTCTTAAAGCATCTCAAGGTCATCTGTCTAATCAGAACTAATTATTCACAATAAGCCATTTGTCAGTTGGGAACATCTAAGTTACAAATACAGTATTCCTTACATACAAGCAACCACTTCACCTAGGACCTGCCTCCTGGGCTGTATGGTTGGAACTGCTCTTCTGTCCAGACAAATGGCATTAACCTCCTGCCATTATCTTCAGGCCTGTGCCCCCCCTTTCCAAAACAGAGCTATTGCCACTTGGGTACACCAGCATAAATAGAGCTAACCTGAAAATTTTCCTCCCACTCCTACATGGCAACAACCAAGCAACAACTGGTTTCTCTTACATAGAAGTTTACAGCTTAAATAGATCCCATAATACGTACTGCAAACACTATCCTTGAATTTTCTTTATTTTATTAATACTTACATCAGCATGCCTTACCCTGTCATAAAAGAAGAGTTTTTTTTAAAAAACCCTGCAATTATAAATTCAGTTTGACTGTACTGTGTAACAGAATTTGTAACATCCAAGAAAGAAACAAAACTTCACTGTGTAATTTTAGAAGATATAATAATTACAGTAACAAGTTTTAGGGAAATATTTCAAAATTAATAGAATATATAAATGGTATGTAAATTAACATGCCAAAATTATTTTACCTAAAAATTATTTACAACATAACTCTAGAAAGGACTGTTGCATAACTATAGAAATAGTTTTTCAAATCTTTCAAAAATTAGAAGAGTATAAAAACTTCACTATATGAGCAAAACATAATTCTATATATTTTCACTTTATAACTGCCATCTTCCATAAATAATTTCAGGGCCATTAGACTTTTTAAAAGATCACTGCCAAAGACAGAAAAAATTTAAAGTTTATTTCATGAAATAATAGCCAAAATCCCACATGTGGGTTTGAACCTTGGTTTACAAAATCTCTAATACTGTTTTGTTTTTGTTACAAACGTAATACATGTTCACCAGAAAATAATTCAAACAATAAGTGTCTAAAATAAAAAGAAAATCACCACCACCCCACTCCACCAAGCTAACAAATCCCTTGGCCCAGCCAACCCACCTCCCTATGCCTCCCAATATTTCCCTGGGGTCCTGAAAAAAAAATACATGTATAAAGTACTATTTATGTTTTGTAAAAAGAGATCATTTAAAAACCCTGACCAACCCCAAGTTTTAAGACTCAACTAGTAACCAGAATTTGCTGGGGCAGATGCTTATTTCTCTATCCTCCTATTATAGAAACTGGCATTAAATATTATAATGTAAATTAGACGCAATAACAAGTACAGCAATGTTAATTTTACCCAGAATCTACTAAAGAAACACCTTAATCTGAAGTGTCACTGAGGACTGAAGAACAGCACATTACCGAAATTTCACTTTTAAAAAATTTGCTTTGAATATTACCTGTCCCGGTCCATGCTGACTGACCATCAGTAAGTGTAATAACAAAACCAGATCCTAGTGTTTTCTCCCAAGCCACTTGTAGAAAATGAATTACATCAGGTTCAGAAGCAAGACAGATTCTGCTTACTTTTCTCTCCATTTCTGGTCACCTGTTTTAAAAAAATAAAATTAATATTTTTGCAAGAAACCGTGACTATCATATAGTGATGTTTTGTATATTGGTCTCTCAGCTACACAAAGCACCAAGGAAATAAGTAAAACAAAAAAAACATGTAACAGTTCGCCAACTACAAAACTCAGTAAATCATAGTTCTATTCAACACTGATTTATAATTTTTACAGATAAGAAAAACAGAGGCCCATAAATGGCAAATGAGTTGCCCAAGTTGAATGTTGAAAAAAATTACTATATCCAACAATATGAAGAGTAAAGACTTTTCTTACTGATCCCACTTCCATTTCTAATGATTAGAGGTTCTTTTTCTATGAATTCAAAAACCATTCTTCTGGTAATCTACTCTAGAATCTTCCCCAGATTGACCTCAAACTTACCAAACTGTGGTACGACATATATTTGGTTCAAAGCAAATAACTATATTTTTTCTAATACTGGAATATCCCCTGACCACGTGCACTTCATTAAGAGATGCTTAAGCTGTAGAAGCTAACATGCAAAACAAAAATACCCTAAAAATTACAAACATGCAAAGAAAAAAACACTACAAAAAGTCAAAACCAGGAACAAAGCACAAACTTCCAAAGATGAAAAACTAGAGAGAATTTTTCTTTAATCACAAAGCATGAATCTCTTCCTAGATAATCCTGAAAAAGCTAAAGAAAATTCTTCAATTTTTTATTTGGGGAGAAGAGTATAAAATTGCTTCAATTTTTATGACCAGCATATATAATAGGCTATAAAAATCCAAAAGCAAATTATTAATTGGCACTTCACTGACAACTGATTACTAAGTTTTAACAAAAGCAAATTTTTAAATCAGTTTTAATTTGCTTTCTCAATTTAAAACTATTACATTTTCATAAATAAAGCACATTATTTTTCTCAATTAACAATTGAATATGAAAATAAAAACAACTGAATATGAAAAACTCACTTTGTCAGCTCTTCACACAACTGAATATGAAAATAAAAACTCACTTTGTCAGCTCTTCACAAAACAAAACTAACTTACTACAGATCTCTATCTTCTGGGAGTGGGAGGGATGCTTAATTATAGAATGCTAGAGCTATTCTATCTTACAGTAAAAAGCGCAAGGAAGCGGGGCGATTTCCAGAATAAAAGAAAAAAAAATATCTAAAATTAAGAGTCTAAGATACCTCCAAATTGGTAAATTAACAATAATTCTAACTTCTACCTAAAGTGTACTCAGAAGACTGTTTATTATTCTTCCCAGTAAAAGACCAAGTTTTAAAATAACCATACTTGTAGCCACATCAATTAAGCATGTTTATGTGTTAAAAATATGTAAATTTGTAGGTTTGACTACATCATAACCATTGAAAAAATATAATTTTTAAATATTTCATTTAGCGGTCTTTCTTGCCTCAGTATGCTTACTTCTGAAATGCGTTATCCATTTGTGAATATTTTCTTTTAAATGAGTTGGTCAAAACACCTAACATGCAGTTAATTACCCACATGCTCTGTAATCCTTAAATTTGAAAATTGCTGGAAAATGTGTATTACTATTTTTCTATGCCAATCACTGAAAAAGACACATAGTTAGAGACTTACCTAATTCTAATAGGCCCCAAACACACAACTTCGGAGTGGGAAGGGTAATAGAAACTACTTATGAAGGCCACTTTTTGCCTCTCCAGAATTTATATACAAACACCCAGATACACTGGCACAGGTTATTTCTTCTTAAATGTGCCTCAAGAGGCACGGCTATTGTTAGCAATTAATGCAACTTTGTGAAAGAAAATCTCAGCACTTAGAATTGCTCTAAAACAGCAATTGGTTTCGCTGCTATTTTTCACCATATTTGAAACAAGTGACAAACTGCTAATGATACAAAGTAGTTTAAAATTCAATATTCCAGATGCTTCATTCTACTTTCACAATGACATAAAGGGCTTTCATCTCAGTAATGTTAAAAAGACATTTAGGGATCAGATTAGTTTTAATAACATCTTTGAATTATTTGTGTTTCAAATATTTTCCAGTTTTCTGACCAACTCTAGGTACTTACAGCTAAAATTAAACCGTATTATTTTAAAGATTCCATTATTTTACTAAACTCAGATTTGAAACTTTGGATGCCGTGAGTCATGTTCAAGCACTTAACATTTATAGCCCAAATGTGACCACTCAGGTACTCCTATAAATATTTTGTGCCTCAGTAGCCTCAGATGTTTTCTCTGTATCAACTGAGTTTTAATTTCCTGATAATATATTATTTGAACGACTTTTGAATGAAATTCTTTCTTCTACTTACTGAAGTCACCCCCTCATTAAATATCGAATACAAAATATCTAAGAACCAACCACAAAAATAGGAAAAAGGATGACTTGCCAGGTCTTTCAAGAATCTTAAGAGTGAACCAATGATCTCTTTGCTTTCAGCAGCCCTGTAAATGGGAATAGTCAGCCATAATTTTTCTGCCCCAAGAATACTTGAAGAAAGGGGTGGAATCCTCTTTAGAGGGACTGATTGATTAGGGCCATAAGAAAGCGTGTGTTTTATTTTCTAAGGGCACTAAAGGTCGCACTAGTATCAGCATCAGAGCCCAGGAGCTAAGACAAGCCTGCAGGTGGAAACAGTTGAGTCCCACCCCAATTTGTACATCAGTAGCTTTATTGAGAGCTCAGAACAGTTGAGAATTGAGCAGCTTATCTTTAGTACTTTGTGCCTTTGATACTTGGCTTCCTTCTTAGAAGAGAAATAAGTTGTTGGCTGGTATGCAGTTGATGTGATCTACACTCTGAACAAATACCATTCACAGTTGCCTCTGAATAAACAAGACGCTTTTTAAATTAGTTTACAAAGAATTTTGTATGCCCTTTTGGATGCTGATAAGGAGCAGTGCAGAAGCCAACTCTCTTAGGTCAGCTCAACTTAGTGACAACACTATATCATTGATAACACCATTTTGAACTTGAGCTTCTTTTATTTTCCTTTATAGCTAAGTTACGGGGTCTTTTCAAGCGGCTTGGGCTGCAGGTGTTCAAACTTCTGCAGCTATGCCAAGGAGTTGTACTTAGAGATCAGAAAGGACTAAAGGCATGTTTCTAATGAAGCAATTAACTTAAGTGCCCCCTTGTTCAGAAAAGTAGGCTGATACCTAAAGTGAATTCAGAATAAAGATGAGCACACAGCACACGCTAAGTCTGTAATTAGATTCCTGATCATATTATTTTGTTTAACCTTATTTTTTTAAAAAGGGAAGAAAAGAAAAAAATGTAAATTCTAAATTGAAAGTATGGTGATAAATTTTTTTAAAGTTCTATCATATAAAAATTCAAGGGTAGTACCATACGTATGGCTAGATAAAAAGGAAAGAAAGTCTTATGCAACAACCACTGGGCTATTTACTTTACTTTTAATAAGAAAAACATCACACAAGTCAGAAAACTAAGTGCAAAGAAAATGATGATTTTCCTGTTTGTTCAGTGTTTTTAAAAAGCATTGGTTATTAATGTTTATCTTACCAGAATTCCCACACTGAAGACTTTTTTTTAAAAATTAATAATTGATTCCTAGCATTTTCATTATTCCTTTCCTATCATTTTCATTAACAGCAAGTCAACTTGCTGGTTGGAGTTATCTATCTGAATAAAGGGTAAATTAAGCCTTTTTTTTTTCCTAAATGACCACAAAATCAAAATCAATTTACCTTTAAATTTCCAAAGCAATTAAACAAAAATATCAAGCTAACTTTCTATAGAAGAAATGGTTTCTTGAAAGAATATTTTCCAGTTCCAATTATCTAAACTTTAAGGGTAAAGAATTCATAGTATCATTAAATACTTTTCTAATCATGTCAATATTACCTTCATTCTATTAATTTAGAAATGAAAGTAAGGTGACCGGCTGTCCAGGTTTCCCTGAGACTTTCTTGGTTTCAACTTTCGAAGTCCCAGGTGCAGGAAGCCTCCCAACCTCAGGCCAACTGGGATGGATGGTCACCCAGAGTAAGAGTAAAATACAGTTAAGACTGTGGGCGTAATCTTGTTCAAAAACTCGTAAAATACAGCTCATGTTCAAGTTAGATGTCAGATTAACAGTCTGATGCTTCAGGAATAAAGCATTAGAACTATAAAATTAGTCTAAAAAGTAAGGCATCTTTGCCATAGTCATAGTCCATTCTCAGTTACCCCTTATGACTGTGGAATGCCACCTGCAGCCATTCCAAATATCATATTACTACTCATTTCCTCTACTTATCTTTTACAAATACCATTAGTAATCATTAGTTTCAGTGATTCAAGTTCACCTCCTCTTTTCTTTTTTCTTTACCCAATGAACTAAGTATTTTAAAACAGTAAAATAGCTTGACTAAATTTCCCACATAAAACCTAACACCTAGATCCAAAATGCCCTAAAAATTGGACCCAGAGCTCCAGGACTTCCTATTCATCAAATGGACACTCTTAATTACAAATAAACTTGGCAGAAAGGATGAGAGCATACTTATCATTTTGGAAACTTTCTGAACTTTACAAGAACACTTCAGTCCTAATTGCAGAATTTCCTGTGAGAATGACACTTAACAGAACTGAAGAGATAAGATAATACCTGAAAATACAGCATTAGCTAAACAACAGTCTTTCTTCATTAAGAATGTAGTAATTTTGATTTCTTAAGCCGTGAAATTTTGACACTTCTCTCGTATTTTAATTTCAGAAGAGAGAGGGTGTTCCTATGAAATACCATCAGTTAAGTGTATATACAGTCTTTTCTACTTCAAGAATGTGCTGCTCAGAACTGAAATGTAACTAAAAGCATTTGTATGGAAAAGAAACAGGACTTGCACTGTACTTTTTCCCCTACGCACAAACCCACCATTTACTTACAACTGTACCCATTTATCTGCCTATTTCAAATGGCAAACAGGCGATGAATGGTAAGACTGGGGTACAAATGAGAGTTAATCCTGAAAAAAAGAACCCTATAACATATCCTT